ATAAAAATATTTTTTGCATATTTTGCATTTTTAGTAATTTTAAAATGCATAATTTTTAATTTTGCATCGCACGAACCTGTGGGCTCTATTATATTATTATTTTATGATTGTTGTACAAATTTCTAAATATCTGCGGTTTCATATGCCTTTCATGCAATTGAGCAATCGGCAAATTATCACATGATCAAAAATACAGCAATTTTAATATTCATACTAAATTTTCGAAATTAGGAAGGGGGGGTTATGTTAAACGAAAAATCAAATTGGTATGGCCTTACTGCGGAGAAGTATAGATGACGTCTCAATGCGCATGATATATAATCCGCTAAGCCACCCACGTGATACGAAAAAAGAAAATATACGATTTTTTCAAAGTAATTAATTCGCCCAATAATTCTTCTAAGCAGTTACCGGAGAGATAATAGGACTCATCATTGGTGAGCTTTTTCTTTCGTATCTTCCGTCACGATAATAATATCCTTTATCTTCGTAATAACACCCTTCATCATACGTGTCATCATTTCCATAATAATCCCCTTCATCATGCCATACTTCACCTTCTTCAATTTGGGATTCACCCGAAGAATTGCCGTTGAGGCACTTCACAGAGACATGGGTTAACGGAATAGGTGCGGGCGAACTTTATTAATATATTACTGTATAACAAAGCAGGCTACATTAAATTTTATTTTATAGAAAGAGGTCACGACATCATGTGCATGGCGCAGTAAATGATTCAATTCGCGCACTTGCCAAGAAAAATTCCGATGTTTTACATAAATAATTTCCCAATACATACACTGCAAAAAAGTAAAGCAAAAACTTTATTTGTTTCATTTAATACATACAATAATTTGATAAATCTGAGCTATAATACATTTTATTATTTGATGCACGCTGTCGATCAATCATCGATTATTTCTGTTGAGATTCTAGCGACAAGATCCGCATAAATAATAATAAAATTAACGAAATCAGCCCCGGCTACAATTGCGCAATTTTCTGGAATATTGCCTTCGAATCTTTTTGGCGTGACTATTACAAGTCTTTCTGCCCCAGTAGCATTAGCCTTCTTTACCTCTTTTCCCACAGTATCAATACTAAGTTCTCCTGTTTTATCTTTATGAACCAGATACCCACTTTCCAATGCTTCGCTGTACTTGTATTGTTCATCAGCGTGTGGCAGTATTGCATCTGCCGATGAGATTCTTCTACGAAGCTTAATAATATATTTACCTAATGTGGCATCAATTTCTTGGTATCCCCTTTTATCAATATCTTCAGAACACATCACTGCAACACGTTTTCTATCTAAATCAGGTCTGGTGAACTTTTCTTTGGAACTATCTTTTGGGATCAAAGGTGGTTGTTCATGATAATCAATTATTTCTACATAAATCCTATGATCTAGGACTCTTCTCGGGCCATCAATATACCGACCATAGATTTCACTTAAGGTAATATAACGGATACCGGTACGAATCATGAGACCATATGTGGCATGATGTATCCGAAGAATAAAATCTGGAAAATTATCTTGATTTATCAAGGTAAATGGGTTTAAGAGAATAGGATCGAAAAATATGTGCAAGTCAAAAAATTCAACTAATGCAACAATGAGGATTAATGGGGCTCTTGGAATAAATTCAACATCTTTAATAGTTTCATCGAGATAAATAAGACCGCTAGCTTCCACTTCCTCAATAGTACAACCACTTAACTGGTCTTTCTTAGTAACATGCTTTTGAACATGGATATAGAATAATAGCTTCATTATATTATTCTCATTATGTAAACTTGAGAGCCAATGTTTTTTGGAATATTTTTGGTTTACACGAAACTTTAGATTTTCCCAATATTTTTTCGCTGTATCATAATTTTGAAATGCGCTCACTCCTTCGTTTTTCAGATGTAAAAGTGTCCTAACTGCAATTTCAATGATAACAGGAATTCCTCTTACAGAGTTCACAGCACAACGGTAAAATATTTCATCATCTGTTGGTAAAATGTCACTATCACCATAATAATTTATGGTAAACTCTTTGAATAGGCTCATAGAATCTTCAAAATTCATAGGAGATAAATTAATATTGGCCATTGCATATTGAGTTATACTAAATGTGTATTCACCCAAATTTGCAATTTTAGATGGAGCGGTACCAGTACATACTGGAATGATTAAAGTTCTGTGTGTTACTTGAACTAGTATACTTCTTATGATGCGAAGTAGTGTAACTGTCCAGTAATTTCCAGTCTGAAACTCGTCAATCTGCAAAACTATTATCAAAGTGATAGGCTCATCCAACTTCTTTTCTTTGCGAATCAATTCAACGACTTCATCATAGTCATAGCCTTTAGTACTATCCATCAATTCCATAGCATTTTGAATCTTCTTTCTAGACCATGCTTTAGCGAAAAAGTATGTCGCAATTAAAACAGTGAGCATTTTATACGCCTCATCAATGTGTTCTGGGATTCGAGGATATTTATTATTAGCATCATCATCGAGTCCTGGTCCAAGTAAATTTTTTATCTCATCCATGTTAATGTATATGTGCTCGAAAGTTGCATTCAGTTCATCTTTTAATCCTTTGGCAAGTTTATTATGTTCAACAATATTATTGATTTCAAATCCAATACGGGTTTTTCCAGTACCACTTCCACCGGAAATGACAATACCGAGATAATCTTGAGTTCGGTGTGATGGTTCGTAAAACATGTTAAATAAGTTTAGACCTATCACTTCGCAAATTTTCTCCTCTATCTGGGGGCGAGCAACAAAAGGAATCAAAGTGATGGGACTTCCATCAGCTGAAATAATTCTATTAAGATCCGACAAGGAATCAATAGAAGGCCTAGCTCTTTTTGCTTCTGATGATGTTAAAAAAGAAATAATGTAAATTTGTGGTAAGTTTGTTGGCAAATATGGCAGAGAAAGATAAAAAATGAGACTTACCAACAACAGGAAACACATTCTCCTTATTTTTATTATTTTTATTTTTCTTTTTTGAATTCTACATATAATATACAAGGGGTGATTGTGAGTAAAGATTTTTAACATAAGGAAGGTACATAGCCGATTCCTCCTCCGGAATCAGCAGACCTTAATCAAAAAACCCATAGCAAGATATGCCCACTCTTTCCCATGCACGAGGGGACGGGACGTAGTAGCATGCTCACTATGCTCGTTAATATTTTCACATCTGTAAAAACACTAACCTTTAACAGAAGTCTTAATTCGAGTACCTTTCTGCCTTCATTTGATTCCGGTTCTAGGTTATTTGACAAAATCCTCAATTCACTACTCAAATCATTGTGAGATTTACGTTCTGAGGCTTTCGGATATTTTTTTTGAAAAAAACTATCCCACGTCTCTACGTCCCATTGATCATGGGTCTTCCAGTACTCTGAAATAAGGTATAAAAATATTAGAGTATTCTAGCATTATTAACGAGTGACAAATATACACTTACCACTATTGTAAACTTTGCTTAAAACTACTTCTGATAACATCGAGAATCAAAAAAAAATAGAGAAAAGAAACGAAATAACACATTTAACTTTATGTTAGACACGTTAAATACAGTAGACTTATGTTAGACACGTTAAATACAGTAAGTTAAATACAGTAGACGCGTTTTTATGGGTTAATGTCTCTTTACTTATATTAGGGATGTAAGTCATGTGACCCAAAATGTGTATTATTGTCCGGAGCATAGCAATGTCGTTCTGTACTATAGACTGGTGATGCGTGTTTCGTGTTACTGTTTATTACCAATTTTGTATTACCGATTTCGTATTACGTAAATATACAACGCGTAATTTCGTGAAAAAAAAAAAAATAAATAAAAATAAAAATAAAGTAGTTGACTTTTTGATCTTTTTATTAAAAAGCTTTTACATAAAGTGTTTCCTTTGTATTTATAAAATTCTTGTTTGTCATATTTGCTTGTTTTTCCTTTATTTGTCGTTTAAAGAATAAAGAGAGTATTAAAAAGCTTTCGTGTAAAGTGTTTCCTTTGTATTGATAAAATTCGTTTGTCATATTTGCTTAATTTTCGTTGATTTATCGTCTAAAGAAAAATAAAGAGAATATTAGAAAGCTTCTGTGTAAAAGTGTTGCCTTTGTATTGATAAAATTTGTGTTTGGTTTGCCGTCTAATGAGAAATATAGAGAATCTTAGCCAAACTGCTGCCTCAATTAGACAACGTAAAGAAGAGCTAGGGAAGCATTTGATGAACATGAAACGCGTCTTGCTAATAATCGTGAAAATAAGAAAATAAAAAAAGCGTTAGAAACACCCAAATAACGTGAAACCCGCTTGGCTAGAAATCAAGTTCAGAAGCAACAAGAAAGACAACAATGAGCTTTGGAGAATGCAGATGAACGTCTGAATCGTCAGGATGAACCAATTCCTGATAATTTTCAACACCTTTCCGAATCTGATCGTAACCTTTTGTGAAAATTTCGTACTGTGATGAATAAGCTCAATCATAAATTTTGTCCTGTGTGCAATGAACGGTTCCCTTCAATTAACCTCGTCTTGGGAATTTGTCGTCACTGTTACATGGATAAAAATGAAGTAAAAAAATTCTTTGCCAAAAACAACATGAATCCAGGTGATGTACCAGAAGAGTTAAATGATCTTACTGAGATCAAAGAAATGTTGATTGCGCAGACTTTTCTGATTGTTTCTGTTTATTATCTTCGCAGAGATCAATACGCCTACAGTGAAAATGTTATAAACTTTCCCCAGGATATAGGGTAATTTATATCACGTCTTCCTTGAAATCCGTCAACGTTGGATACACTTGTTATACGTCATCAGTCTGTCGAAGGTTCAACATCGTTTAGGGATTTTACTGTTTATCGTAAAAAAATTAAACGAGCCCTTTGTTGGCTGAAAGAAAATAATCGATACTATGCCGATATTATCATTGATGATAATGTATTGCGTACGTTGCCTGATGATGGTCCTATTGATAATCATCTTTCACAACTTCATGATGCTGATAACAGGCTCCAACAAGTGGATGATGAACTTCGTGATGCTAATCGTTTAGATAATGATACTGATGATACAATCTTACATAATTTTATTCCAGCACCTTTTCTGTTACCTAATAAAGATCGTGCCATTGATGATGCTCTTGCTCGGATGCAATCTGAAACCGATCCTGTTATGTGGCCAAACATAGGTGATAATGCTATTAACGAATTTAATACCCCTAGGTATATTGCTCACACCTTTCCAACTCTGTATTCAACAGGCAGTACTGATCTCTGAGCAGAGCATATTAGAGATGTCAACCTGGCCGAATACTTCCAGCATTTACTTAAATATAAGGATGGAGAATTTGCACGCCATACCCGATGGTGATACTTTGCTTTAAATTCGCAGATATATTGGCGTGCCTTATAGAAAGGGAAGGTTTATGTCAAGCAAAGTCTAAACGGTAGACAACTTACAGTTGAAGATATCCAGAAAATGGTCAAGAGTGATACACATATGGCGGACTGTGTTATGCATTTTGGTAAGGGTTTGCATGGCACTAGATAGTTTTGAAAAAGGCGTAGTCTTGAATTGTCTGACATGATAAAACAGTTAGGTACACAAGGAATGATATTTTTTACCTTTAGTGCTGCCGATTTACATTGGCCAAAACTTCATAAGCTCATGCCGCATGGTGAAAATCCGGTAGATGTAGAATCTGAGCAGGATCAAAACAAACTTCGACATCGTGACTTAATTGATAACCCGCATATTGTCGCCTGTTTTTTGAAAAATGTTTCAAATTATTTTTGGATACCGTTTTGATTCCTAAGTGGGGATTGGAGGATTGGTGGTATAGGTTCGAGTGGCAGCATCAAGGTAGTGTGCATGTACATGGAATAGGAAAAATACGAGATGTGTCTTTATTTAATTGAGATAGTATGAAAGATAATGAAGAGACGATATCCAGAATTTTGATCCATCTTGACTCACTTGTTACTACGATTAATCCATGTATTGACGCTCCTATATCTGATTGTCATCCTTTCCAGAAGTCCAATAATGAAATACATGATGACCTACAGGATTATGTTGAACTTGTTAATAAACTACAGAGGCATAAAGATGCAGTTCTTCATATTGTCTTCGTGTAAAAAATGGTCAACAGTATTGTAGGTTTGGGTTTCCAAAAGATACTGTTGAGCATAGTTTTATACGCGAGAATGATCGTGGTCAGCCGAAACTTATCACATCAAGGAATGATCCTTACGCCAATTACCATAATCGTCTTCAATTCCAAGGTTAGTATGCGAATGTTGATCTTCAACCTATTCTTAATATTCATGCTGCTCTACAGTATGTTGCTAAATATGCTATTAAATCAGAATCACGCTCTTCTTTTTCGGAAATTTTAAACAAAATTCTTTGCGAAAGTAACCCTTCTGATTCTTCTCTTAGCTCTTTTCAACGCTTATTGCTTCATACTGTTGCAGAACGTGATTTTTCAGCTCAAGAAACTTGTCATCTACTCCTTGGACTCTCTCTTTACCATTCCAGTAGTCAGTTTGTTACTTTGAATCTTAATAGGGAATCGCTCCAGTGGTTACGGAGAACTGGAAGCGAGAATGATATTGGCAGAACAGAACAATCACCTTTGCAAATGTACTGGAATAGACCCATCAAACTAGAGAATCTTTCCCTCTTTCAGCTATATTTGAGATACAAGTTTTGTAATGGCAGATGGAAAGGATGTGATAATGAGAACATTATACGTATTTGGCTGAAACTGTCACCTCAACGCAACGGACCTCAATGGGATGAATTTTGCCAGATAAAAGTTTTACTCCATATTCCTCATCGAGATTTTCGACAGTTAACTGAGAATAATACTCTCTCATGGTCTGAAGTTTTTAATCGTGATCTTGCTGATAAAGAAAGTGAACTTGGCGATCTACTCAGTACATCTGTTGAAAATTTAGATGAATTTGACGATAATGAGGAAGAGCATGAAGCTGAAGATTGTAAAGATGATATACGTCAGGATTGGATGATTTTGTCAGAAATAGGTTTGAAAACAATTATTGATGCTTCTTCTGGCTTAGGTTTACGTGATGTCGATCGAAATAATGACTGGTCTGGTGATATTAGGAGTCATTATCATGATCTAGATTCAGTTGATCTATCTAATTTTGTGCAGAAATCTCGCTTTGAACATACATCTGGTGTTGAAAATTTGAATGCTGATCATCATACTTTAAATGATAAGCAGATGATCATATTCAAACGGATTGAATCGCATTACAATGATTTTGTTACAAACTATAATCAAGTTGAGCCACTGAGAGTTATAATCATAGGAACGGCGAGAACTGGTAAATCATATCTAATTAATGCAATTCGGGTACGACTTCAAGAGATAGCTATGAATAATGGTATTGAAAACTCCCCTATGATTGTTGTCACTCCGACAGGCGTTGCAGCATTTAATATTCTTGGTGCAATGATCCATTCGACTCTTTCAGTTCCAATCAATAGTTCAAACTTTGATATACAAGGTGAACAACTAAAAGATTTACAAAAAAGATTGAACGGAGTTAATTATGTGATAATAGATGAAAAAGTATGGTAGGACGTCACATGCTTGCTTTGATTGACTTACGTCTATGTGCAGCTTTTCCTGAGCATCAAGACCAACCGTTTGGTGGTCGATCTGTTATTCTGGTAGGTGACTTTGGTCAGTTACCTCCGGTGCTTGATGAACCCATGTATGCTAAGAATATTAAACGTGACCCATTATCGAATGATGGTATGAAAATATACATTCTATTTCGAGAGGTATATCAACTTGATGTAGTTCGTCGACAATCTGGAGATTCGCTTGAGCAACACCATTTTAGAGATATCCTGATGCGATTACGTGATAGAGATTCTACGTTAGACAATTGGAAAACACTTTCCAAACGTTTCGTTGATTTCTCGT